GGGAGGGGGGACGTGGACGTTCTCTAGTTGCATCATAGTTTTATAGGTGCACTGAGGCGTTGGCAAGGTTTTTGAAAGGAACCAGTCATATTCTTGACGCTTGTCACATGCTTTCTGGAGAATATAAAAGGCCGTTTATGTATCATCAAACGTTATCAGAATATTTTATGAAGCCAAGCTATTGATCAAACCACTTATTTCTTCAACTCAGCTACTGAGCTATTGCACGTTTAAACAGTAATTGAATGCCGGTTCAAGATAAGGGCATATGACACTGTTGGAATTTCTGCTGTTTGGAAAAGTCGAAAAATATGCAATTTTTTGGAAGTGATGATAAAACTTTATCAATGTATTGTACGTTACGGAATGTAAAAAGCAAAAGAAAAAACAGAGGGGACAGCAGACGTAGGAAGACTTAGAGAAAAATTTATTTTCTGGGAGAATCGCTGATAAGTTGATGATCAGAGGCTGGACTGTCTCGAATTACGGCAGTGGCCAAGGCAACAAGAGAGTACAGTCAAAAGCGGAGTTGTGATGTACAATTGGTTCATTGGGGGGTTATAGCAGACCGTTTCCTTGCCGTCCTTACTCTTCATTGGCGCCGCCCAAGTCTCTAATTATTTGCGCTCAAAAAAGGTGTACGGCAGTGTTATATGCATTATTCAATTTAGTGTTTTTCTTATTCGTCACCACTCAGTGGATCTTCAATCTTTTGATGTCGGATTAACATCCTTTTTCTTGTAAGTTCTTACTTTTTATCTTTACTGGATAATTTCACCATCTCCAGTTTTAGCGGTTCGTGTTTGATCAGTCGAGCAAATTAGATTTAACTAATTTACAGATTACGTATTTCTATTCACGTTTTGTGAATAATTTATACATTTTAAGCTGCTGAAAAATCCCAATGCCCTACTGCAGTTAACAAAATGCTATTATCAACAAAACTGAAACTAAATAATTGAAATTTTCGGTTCTTTCAGTTTGGTCGTCAGTTTAAAGGATCAGAAACTGGAGGAAAGAAACGAAATTCAGTTGGGAATACAAAACTCTATTTAACCACTTACAATACTGATGGATGTGAAATTAATTGAAAAAGATGTACAACGTATGCAGTTGGAGGTTGAACGATTATTAAATTTGGTTTCAGAACAAGCTGAAGTTTTGCTTTCAAGGCAAGGATCTATTCGGGGCAGGAAATTTCATGTACATAACACAATTCGGCGAATGATATATCGCAACACATGGAGGGTAATTGATTGCTTGGGCTATTCAATCTTTGTTATATGAAAAATGGCTTGCTGTTAAGAAATACATATAATATTTTTATACTTTTGTTATCATTAGAAAAGGTTTTTTTTTACTCGCATTAAGTAAATATTTGTGCTTGAAGACTTGTACTTAATTAGCGTGTTTTGACTGAGTGTTTTAGTATAGAGGAGATAACCGTCGCTTTAAAGGGCATAAAATCCTGTTTAGTTTCTGTTTCCTCTTTTTCTATAAACTTAGCTGTAAAGATTAAGAAAAGAGGTAATGTGATTTTTTTTACCCCTTTTTTTAACAATAGGTAAACCATAAGCAACAGGAATTAATGAACTTAATAGTTTTATTAAATTATCCAAGAAATAAGTTTTTTTTTAAAACTGCAGCTCAGCATTCATTTAGGCGAATTATTATGGGATGGTAATAATTTGTTAAATGTTTGCAGTAACTAAAAACTTCTGTTTTTATTAGTTTATAAGTTTATTCCTTCTCTTAACACATCATTCTTCTCCCCATATGATTTTTGTTTTGGTTATTCTCTTTTTCTGCTTCAAACAAAATACAACAAGAAATTTTGCAGTAGCAAAATAAAACTGCAGCAGCGATACCCACTAACTTTGAACAGTGAAAAAAACCGCTGAAAATTTTTCGGTAATTAGTAAAGGGGGCAAAAAAGAAACGTTAAGCAGAACTATGGTACCTATATATGACTTGTTGATGAACAAAGAAATATTTCCCAATTATTTATACCCAAATTTCTTATTAATTCACAAATTCTTCTCTTCTTTTGTTCCATAATTTTCTTTTAATCTTTTATTTTACCAAAATGAATAATTTATTTACGGATGGGTAGTCAAGACTTTTATTGGCCAGCACCAGGTTGAAGAATGTGTCTGTACTGAGGTTTATCTGGAAATATGTCTGTGTATGCATTTGCATCTGTTTATAGGAAAATTTTGTTTGTTTAGGAAACACCAAAAGCTCAGCTGTATACATATACATAAATATAAATTTAAAT